TAGATGGTTAGCATTTTTCAGCAATAAAGTATTTTTAGTTAAGGTATGTACATTGTTTTTTGGACCTAATGCAGTTACACACCTAATAGCATGGCTATAACTTTTATACACACTGAGGAGCCAGAAGATGCATTTGACTTGCTTTATTGCAATATTCCCTTTATCATAGTGGTCTGGAATTGAACCCACAATATCTCTGAGGTACACCAATAAAAAAAAACAAAACAAAACAACAAAAATACCCTGCTACATCCTATGCTAAGGAATTTAGTTATTATTCTGAAAGCCAGTTTCCCAAAACTTAGTAATTCAAGTACTGTTTCCACAATATGTGTTATGTCCAAAGCCGCCTTATGTTATTTTTGCTCTTCCTGTAAACTACTTGTACTATTATTTGTTTAACATTTTCCTCAAATGTCTTATTTAAATCATACCTGTTTTCAAAAGAAATTGCACATCAGTATTTTAAGTAGAAAACCAGTGTCACTTGCAGTTAATTCAAGGTCATTATTAAAATGAATGTGATGAAAATAAAACATTCCTGTTAACTCTTTTTTTCTGAAGGTCTCCTAGCCTGGGGTCTGCAGTCTCATTATCTTAAAGGGAGATGGTAAGTTTTGGAAAGTTAAATTCACTGTAGCACTAACTTGAGACTCCTTGAATTAGTTAGTGGAAGAAAGAGAGTAGAATGGCATATAGCTTCCTTACTCTGTAAGTCAGAAGTATTCAGCATGGCCATTTTAGATACTGCAGATATATGCATGCTATGTAGACATACAGGGCCACCTGAGGATTTTGAGCTAAGTGACAAAATCCAACCTATGTAAAGAGGGATAATTTGACTATAAAAGGAGACCAGAGAAGTAGCTAGAACTTTGTAAAAGACATCAAAGTTTCCAAAGTGGTCCGGTCAGTATAACAGGATGGAAAAGAGGAACCAGATTTGAGAAAAATCTGTGATTCTCTGATCAGGCCACAGCAGGAGTTGGTGCCTGGAGGGATGAGAGATGCAAGTAAAGGAAAGAGAAGAGCCAGCCATGCTCCACAGAGGGATTGCTTGGCAGACTGCGTGAGTGGTCATGTGACCCAGGCCAAGTTCACAAAGAAGACATAGTAGAGTGTGTGTGCTGGATGAGTAGGAGAAAGGGAGGGAGCAATAAGGAAGGAGGTATGCCTCCATTACATGCTCCAAAGACCTCTGCTTTGGAACATGCTGCCTGTGACAAATAGAGCACACCCATCCTAGGCTCACATTAAATGCTTGTTGAAGATACAGGGGAAATGTGGATGGTCAGCAGGCAATTGGAAACCAGCTTGTTGGAGCTCAGAGACATTCCCAATGCCAGTTAGATTGTAAGAGATCCCTATGGCCTATAAATCAGCCTGAGAAACATTTGCATTTACCTACCGACCATTTCAGAAAATTTGTGACATAATCAGGTAGACAGGTTTAAGGTATACTAGACGTGTTTACTTGCGTAAGATGTTAAAATGAATCCATTCAACCAAAAAGTCATTAAAGAACTTTGAAAAGACCCTATTTATGTAAAGTAATCTGAGTGTTTTAAGTGATAGATAAATTGGACACAGACCCTGTTCTCATAGAGCTTGTAAAGATCTAATAAGATAATAGATAAAATTTTCAGGGATTTAAAACTTAACCTATGAGGCCTTTATTCGTGACTTCCAGAAAAGAAGTTTAGCCCCAAAATCTCTCTAGTAACTAGAGCATAGTATGAACTTTGTTTCCGTGTGTTAAAAGAAATTGATGACAGTGTTGGGGTGGAACAACAGTATAAATGAAATTTGGGTAGACTTCCAGATTTGAAAGTTATAATCTTGTCAATCACTAGTAGCCCCTTTTCTAACGTTCTGCTTAAAATGCTCATTTTTCCAACCTAGAAATAATCTAAAGTTTTGTCATATGTCTCATAAAAATTGCCCTTCCTTCTCAGATGAGTACTATGTAGTAATAAATTGGAGCATTCTCATGAGACTTTCTAGAATAATCAATTTCACAAAACTGGTACTTTTTTTTCCGGTCAAGAAGACACAGACTAGAAAGCATAGACTTCACTCAGAGCCTAAAAAAAATGTCTGAGGTTTGAAGAAGAGGAAGGACAACAAGCCTAATGTTGATGCCCTTTCCTCAGTTTCTAGGCCCTTCTGTGGAAAGAAGTGTTTTCACAAGACTCAGACAGAATTCATTTCCATAGAGCGTTCTTAATGGCTCCTGTCAGTACAAAACAGCTGGGAAACATATGGTATCCATTTCCCTGTATCACTTGGAAAAAATTTCACATGTAAATAAAGCCAACATAAAAGAGAAGCCCTTTGAACTCATGACCTTATCCAATACATAAATATATTGGTACAATGCACTCGTTGTATTGGTCTACTAAGTTATGTGACTTTAAATTTTTTTTACAACCTGAGATACACATTTTCAAGAAGTTCCAAAGGAATCAAGGTAATTGGCAAAATATTAGCAAACACGATACTTAACAATGAGTATCTCTGAAATGCCAAGGAATACACACACACACACACACACACACACATGTTGGCCACTGTATTTTAAGCTTTTCAGAAAAGTTGATGGATAAAATTAAAGGCATATTTACACATTATAAACTTTATGTCTGCTATCTCTCTGCTGTTTTAAATAAGTAACCATGTGTTCTTGCAAGGAAGAGAGAAAAGCTTGGCAGAAATTTCTGGCAGACAATTTTTCATAGCTTCACATTTTTAGTGGAAAATGGACCTATAAAGGATAAGAAACCTTTTAAATTTATAATGGACCAACTGGAATTAGTCTTTGCCTTTGCATATTTACGTTTCATAAATAACTTTAGAAAATCCAGCTCTTATTGGTGATTATCACTCCTCTGAGTTTATTAACAGGACTTTTGTCCCCTGTGATATGAAGCCGTAAATCCCTGAGAAGGATGCGCTTTGGGCATTTACAAGGAGATTTAATGCGTTGTGCAAAGTGAGATTCAAATTCAAATACTAGCATTTGTTAATTGTCTGCTCTGTGCCAAGTACTGTGTACAACTTAGAGCCAGAGCCAGTGAAAGGGAAGAGAAGCAGCAGCTTAACAGTATCTAGATGCCTTCCTTCCCTTCTGGAACATTCCTTCTGAATACCTGTTCCCTACTGGACAGAATCCAGGTCTCCCTCCACAGCTCATAGTATTTTCTTTGTAGATTTTAAAAGTCTCGGAACTAGACCAATTAGTGCAGATTTTCAGAAACCCTGTGCCAAATTGGGGTCTGTTTGGGGGGAAAGACCCCACCCATCAACAGTTACAGAGCATTCAGGCTCAGAACAGTTACTCTCACCTCCTTAGCTTGCTTCCTTTTAGAACACATTGCACTAGGAACAATAATGACCAGTGATCTAAATTTGAGGAATCTTTAATAACTTGTACACTCTTTTCACCCCCAGAAGTAGTGGTAGGGACTGTCCTAGAAGTTACAGACCTGAATACACCCCATCTCTTGTATTTTTTGCTTGTGTCCCAGTAGCCAAGTATGTACACAAACATATGCTTTTGGATTAAATACTAACTACCTAATGTTGTTCCAGAAGAGGAGAGAGATGGGAGGCCCCTAGTTGGAGGGCATATCCTGAAACCTCTTCGCTTTGAAGGGGGATGGTGTGAATGTAAGTGAAAGGGGAGGAGTCTATAAATCAGTGCCTACAAGTTTCCAAGGGTGCTGGGTCATCTGTCTAGTCAGGAGAGTGTCCCAGAGAGGAAGCATGATCATCATGATGGAGGAGGAGACCCATGTTCTGTCATCCTGCTCCAGGAGAAGGCACACGGTAGCCTTCCATGAGGCTAATCGAGAGAGATGGTGGTCTTATCTGTAACCTCCAGATGCATTGCTGTTTCACAGTATCATCCTCCATCTCTACCAGACACTTACTCAAATGCAAACCAATCTTAAAGCTTTGCAGAAAAATGAGAAGAGAAAGAAGAAAGAAAGAAAGAAAGAAAGAAAGAAAGAAAGAAAGAAAGAAAGAAAGAAAGAAAGAAAGAAAGAAAAGAAAGAAAGAAAGAAAGAAAGAAAGAAAGAAAGAAGAAAAGAGAAAGAAAAGAAAAGGAAAGGAAAAGGAAAGGAAAGGAAAAGAAAAAAAAAGAAAGAAAAGAAAAGAAAGAAAAGAAAAGAAAGAAAAGAAAAGAAAGAAAAGAAAAGAAAAGAAAGAAAAGAAAAGAAAGAAAAGAAAAGAAAAGAAAAGAAAAGAAAAGAAAAGAAAAGAAAAGAAAAGAAAAGAAAAGAAGAAGCAAGCCTAACCTACGCATCTCGCTCTCCTTTTGCAACCTTCCCCTCCTGGTGGTTCCCAGCATTGCCAACACTGGAAGGGCAGCCTGGAATCTTACAGCAGGGTTCCTTTGTGAAATGTTAATACATTGTGTTGCTCTGTCACATACCAGAGAGCACTGGGAAATGCCCCTGAGCGATGGTTCAGTGGGAGACACATCTGTGGTAGACAATCGCTCAATGGGTCACAATTTCAGTTTGCCTAGTATTAAATAATTTACCCCATCTTTATGTGGGACTTCTTAATCTTTAGGGGTACACAGATACATATGTATGCATGTGCTCGTGTGTGCGTACATTCCTCCCCTCCCCAAACTAGTTTGGAAGTTCATTTAACACAGAGGATCCAACCTCCCATTTCTGTTTTTCAGGGTGGTGACAAGTATCATAATCCTTCCAAAGAAGAATAGTTATCCAGAGAATGAACCTACAAATCTGTTTTTTGCTTTTTTCCATGATTACTCCTTTAATAAATTTTCAGCCATTAGGCCATAATTTTTATCACTCACTATTTTCCAGTGGTAAGGATAAACTGGTTTATGTATGCGTTTCCTCTTAAGTCGTACCCTTAGGGGCTTTCTATGAACATAATGTGAGTGGATTACACCTGCCTGCGTGACCAAGATATCTTCAGTGTTTCCATTTAATATTCTCTTATTTATTTCTAAACAGTTTCTAGCTCGAGCTGGAATTGCAACGTGTCAGCACTGATTACAAACACGCAAAAGCCCACAGGAATCGCGGATGTGTACAGTAAGTTCCGGCCTGTGAAGCGAGTTTCCCCACTGAAACATCAACCAGAGACTCTGGAGAACAATGAAAGTGATGACCAGAAGAACCAGAAGGTGGAATACCAGAAAGGGGGTGATCCCGACCCAGGCCCCCAACCTGAGGAGCTCAGCCCTGGAGATGGAGAAAATGGTCCCCAGAGTAAGAGCAGCGAGCCCAGCACCTTGCTGGGGGAACTGGAGCATTATGACCTTGACATGGATGAGATTCTGGATGTGCCTTACATTAAATCCAGTCAACAGCTTGCCTCTTTCACCAAGGTGACTTCAGATAAGAGAATTTTGGGTTTGTGCACAACCATCAATGGCCTTTCTGGCAAAGCCTGCTCTCCTGGAAGTGCTGAGAGCTCACCATCCAACATGACACCATTCTGTGTTCTTTCTCCTGTGAAAAGCCCTCACTTGAGAAAAGCATCCTCTGTCATCAGAGACCAGCCAAAGCTCTCCACAGAAGAGTCTGAGAGCTCGCCACCTCTGGTGAAGTGTGGCTCTGCATATGAGCCTGAAAACCAGAGTAAGGACTTCCTAAACAAGACCTTCAGTGATCCTCATGGTCAAAAACGCGAGAAGGCAACGCCAGACTGCCAGCTCAGGGCCTTCCATATGCAGTCCTCAGCCACAGAACCCAAACTAGAAGAGCAGATTGGGGGTGGGAACTGGACCAGCTCCCAAGGCCCGGAAGAAAGGAGTGAATATCTGAAAAAAGTGAAAAGCATCTTGAACATTGTTAAGGAAGGACAGATATCTCTCTTGGTAAGTACGATCTAATTCAGATCTAGAAACTCCAGTTTTACCGGCTCCATTCATGAGTAACAGAATGATGATGCTTTGTTCCCATTCTTGCTTCATCTTTACTCATAGCTTCAGCTAAATGATGTGTCTTTGGGATTCTAAAAATGCAAAGTTAGGAGATTAACACAGGGGGAAACAAATGGCTATAGAGGGAGTGTTACTCTGCTTTAACTATGCACGAATTTGCCTGGAATAGGACTCATAATCTAAAACAAAAACAAAACTGAGCCCAGCCCTTGCTTTAATGTGAATCGTCATGTCTTTCTGTTCCCTATTCAAATGGTTCCCAGTGCGCTCACTCAGGTACTTGTGGGTATGTCAGTTCCTTGTTGATGGTGGACCTGCCAGATACATGAACAGAGGGTCTTCTGTTCTATCCCGATCATTATTCAGAAGAGTTGGACCAGGAAGTTGAAAGCATTTGCAGATAGAAGCTTACCCTAGAGCTTGGCTGCCCTCTGACCTACATTGAGTTTTTACTAGATTCCAGCTCTGTGTGTCTAGGGAGCATGAAGAAGCTTTTCCAAAGGCTCTGGTCACAAAGTTAACGTGATGTAAGAAAAGTCTGTTCTGCTTAGGCTCAGAGAGAGCTCAACTGAAATCACACTCCATCTGCCTGCATTGTTCTTTTCTGGCTTCCAGACTTGGATCAAACAGTAGCAAGCCTGGGCTGATACTATGATGTTAATTAAGGTCTCACTCAAGAAAATCATTACATCTTGGCAGTGCGATTCCACTTAGGGTAAAGCCATGCAGAGATAAGTACAATGTGCCTGGTCTATTATCACAAATCTTAACTATTGTCATAGGATGAGAAGATTAAACAATTTTACTTTTAAAAAGTAATAAAACATTTTTTTTCTCCTGAAAATAGCTTTTCCATTTCTCTTAGTTCTTCTTCTCTTTTCTCTCTCTGGTTCATTCTTTTCTTCTGTCCATCCCATGTTTTCACGTTTCCCAAATGGTAACACCTCACAACTCACCCAGCAGTCTCTATCCACCATGTCATATGCAGGGAACTAAGCTTCACTAGAGGTGAGAACTCTAATGGTTGGGTTTGGCCTCAGGGTACCCCAGGGTCTGTTTGGGGTGAAAGTATTCTGGAAATACCCCATGGTAGCTCTGATTGTGACAACCATCAGATAGCTTGCAATCAAAGCCAATTCTCAGTTGTTCAAGGCAAACCAGATGGTTGAGAGAAGTAGTTCCTTCATTCAACAAACCTACAACAGAGGATAAAACACAGTCTGGCTGTCAGCACTTAGCAGTCGAGTGGAGTAGACAGAGAGGGAACTTGCCAATTACCATAAATGTCATTGTAGTTGTTTAGAAAGCCAGCTTGGAGCCTCTGCAAGCTTACTGACCTAGCCCTTACCAGGTCTCCCAGGAAGATAAGCCCCTTGAGAATTCATGTTCTAAAGGACAATATAGCAAAAACTGTAATGGAGAGTCATTAAAATTAATAGTAGGGAATTCTGACTTATTAAACACTCAGGATTGCCACCAGAACTTCTGGAAGCTCATCTCTTCCTCCCAGTGCCCACAGCAAAACCCCCACAGCATATTCTGATTATTGACTTAAGTGTTCTAACCTTACTGTTTGTACAGCCACACCTCGCTGCCGACAACCTAGACAAAATTCACGACGAAAGTGGCAACAATCTCCTACATGTGGCCGCATCACAGGGACATGCAGAATGTCTCCAGCACCTCACGTCTTTGATGGGAGAAGATTGCCTCAGTGAGCGAAATGCAGAGAAGCTGACTCCAGCGGGCCTGGCCATCAAGGTGATTGGTTGGGGGTTGGGACCAGCCACAGCTAAAAGTTGGATTTCTGTTTTTGAAGATTCCTAGTGAGTTAAGTTGCAGAAATGCGTATAGGGAGAGAGTAGCATGATATACCAAGCAAATGGCAAATGAGCATACTACATTTAAAGAGAGTAATCATTTCGGTTACAACTGCTTTGAGCTTTGGAGACTACATTCCAATTTATCGTGCAATGAGGGTAAGCTTCAAATCAGCTAATAAAGGGAAAGGAAAATGATCTATTGTGGTTCTCAGAACTTTTGTTATTCATAGTGACTGCAATTTAGATTTTTAACCACACCTGGATTTATCTGAGGCTGTTTCATTTTTTCCTAATGTGAGTATAATGAGAGAGACAAATGAGGAAAAGGTGTATTTTAAGGAATGATAGCTCTCAGGAGTATTTCAGATCCTAAGGCAGGCTTCTAATGGATCACATCTGAAGTTTAAATGTCTTCAGTACCAAGAGTTGTTCAGAATGTCAGAGCTGAGTTTTGAGCTTAATGTCGACTGGGATAGAGTTAAAACTTAGAAACTGTGAGTCAGGGAAACATGGACTTTTATAGCACTGCAGTGAGGGCCTCTGTAAAACATAACACATCACTAGAAGTTTAGCTATTAAACTACAATTACTTTTAAGATCTTTGGCAAATAAATGTAAAATTCAGTCATATTTATGAAGAAGCCAGAAGTTCAGGGAAATATAATACATCTTGTGCTTCTGCATATGTGCTCTGCTTTACATAATAGTTATGTCTTCTACAGGCTGAATAATCATAATTTTTAGAAATGGAATTATTTTGAAATTTACTAGAGGAACTTGCTAGTTAAAGAAATGTACTTAGGAATTCACTGAAGAACATGCTACATTTGAAAAAATGATTGCTCTCCTACCCCTAACATATCTTTTATGCAAATCTGAATTTTTGCATCTTTAATTTATTTACCATTCAGTGAATTTTTTAAAGATTTTATTTATTCATTTGAGAGAGAGAGAGCATGCACACACACCCAAGCAGGGGGAGAGGGCAAGGGGAGAGGGAAAAGCAGAGTCCCTGCTGAGCAGACAGCCCGATGTGGGCCTTGATTTCGGGACCCTGAGATCATGATATGAAGGCAGATGCTTAACCCACTGAGCCACCAAGGTGCTTCATCATTCAGTAAAGTTTAATGTATTAAAAGTTGCTTTCTGTTTAATTTTACTCAACTATAATGTATTATTTCCAAGATAGTATAGAAAATAATACTTTTTTGATAAAATAAGAAATTTATGACCCTGGTAGATATCACTTTCCTTTAGTGATTGTTCCTATGGCACATTAAGAGCTGAACTGCCCGCAGCAATCATGAAGAAAGAGATATTAGATGCAAAGTCAAAGTGCAGTGTAGTTGAGTTCAACAATGTGTACCAAGTCCACCAGGTACTGTGTTAGGTGATGGCAATACACATTTGAATGAGACACAATCCCTTTTCTTCAGGAGCTGATAGCCGAGTAGGTAGGGCAGGTAAGTTACCAGTAATTCAAGAGCAGGATGGCAAATTCAGGATCTCGTCTTATATCAGAGTCCTGTGGGAAGATAGGGGTTAGATCTGGTCATCAGTAGGTGTGGGTCAGTGATAAAATATTCTTACAATGCCAATAAATGTTGACATTTGTCTTGCTATTTTAGTGTTTATAAAATACAATTCTCATTAGCTTTCCTAACTGCTGTTAGATTATGGAGTATATTGTAGCTGTGTAGTTGGATGAGGAAATTTTTTCTTCACTTATATGCCCTAGTACTTGTTTTCATAGATTAAGAATCTTCAGGGTAGGACAGTACATAAGAAACTTGGTGGTCATTAGGCCAACCCTGGGTATAAACTCCTTCTACGGTATCCATATTGGTAATTCATTCTTAAATTCCTCTAGTCAGCATACTGCTATCACATAATCAGCATGTAAACTTGAACTGCAGTGTTTTTGGTGTTTTTTTTTTTTAATGAAGAATGCATATCAAGCCCATAAGACTCAAAAGTTCTTATGGATTTGGGGTCTCAGATTTTTCATATTTTTAATTCTGAACACAATGATAAAAGAAATGGAAATCTTCTGTTTCTTCATTTAATCTAGAATTTACAAAAGAAGTTAACACAAATATTTTATAGTAAGTGCCACCCCCCTTTGGAAATCTGTCCTGACCCCAATCCTGCCTCAGTCCATTCAATGTAATTTGATAGACATTGGTGAAGTCGAGGGAGTTCTAAGAAGTCATCATTCTTCGGTTTTAGGACCTTGTTTTGAATACCAGTGACCAACTGATGGTGTTTCACCTCATTAAGCATAGTTCTGAGAGCCCAGCTGTCAGTAAAGACAACAAACTTGGTTCAAACAGGCAGAAGTTGCTGAGATTATGTGACTTGGCTGACAGGAAGCAGAGTCAGAGATAGGGTATCAAATAAAAAGATTACCTGAGAAAAGGGGCTTTGAAGGCTTAAGAACACCTCTCCCCTACCCTTAAACTTCTTAAATGGAACATTATAAATTCTTATCAGTTACACTGCAGAATTTATTGAGGGTTTTCTGGGGAACCCAACCTGAGGTACTGTGGCAATCCAGGGCATTTTACTAAGTGCCCTTTGGGAACAGTTAAGGAAAGTAACTGGAAAGAAATCTAAGGTGAGAGCAGTGTGTTTCTAAAATGAGGCAAACACAATCCATTGTTTTAGGAGCTAAACAGACTTGGAGTGAAATAACCTTAGTTTTTTTTTCATTTCTCATTCAGTGCTTCTGATTAAGCTCAAAGATAACATGTTGGTCTGATGAGAAAATGACTTCAAAGCCATAACCTACTGATGTGACTTTTTTTAACATTTAGGGAGTGATCCCAGATTCAGGCAAAAATCTCCTGCTAGAATTTAATAACATTTGTTTTGTTTTGTATTTCTATTTATGGAAAGAGATGTGTTCAAAATCATGGTAGTGATATATTTCCTTCTGCCTTTACAGCAGCATTTTATTATTTAATATACTTATTCAGACATTCCCTTCTTGAATAACTAGACCTAACCGACATCTAACAGAACATTCTATATCCAACAACAGCAGAATACACATTCTCCCCAAATACAGATGTAACATTCTCCAGAATAGGCCATATGTTGGGCCACAGAACAGGTTCAATGAAGATGAAAGGAATGGAATCATACAAAGTATGTCCTTTAACTATAATGAAATGCAATTAGAAATCAGTAACAGAAGGAAATTAGAGATACAAGTATCTGGAACTAACACACTCCAACATAATCATTTATCAAAGAAGAAATTACAAGGGAAACTGAAAAATATTTGGAGATGAATGAAATTGCAGTATATTATCACTTAAGATGCAACTAAAGCAATGCTAAGAGGGAAATTTATAGCCATAAATGCCAGTATTAAAAAAAAGGAATAAGAAAGATCTAAAGTTAATAGCTTAACCTTCTACCTTAAATTTGAAAAAGAAAAGCAAACTACATTCAAAACAAGCAGAGGGAAATAAATTTAAAAATTCAAGGAGAAATAAATGCAGTGGAAAGCAGAAAAAAGAAATAGAAAAAGTCAGCAAAACCAAATCTGGTTCTATGAATAGATTTTTAAAGATCAGTAAACTTTTAGTTAGATTGACCAAGAAAAAAAAGAGGACTCAAGTCATTAAAATCAGGAATATCGCCTTATATTTCTGTGTTCTGTGTAAATGCCAGTCGATAAGAACTGTCTTCCCTAGTAGTTGCTCAGTCCAGTTCCCATTCCTTTCTTTATTCAGAGAGAATGAAGCACATGGTGTCACAGTTTTATTTTAATCCTGGTAGGAAACAGTTGGCATGCTCAAATTATGCAATTTGAAGAACATCTTTAATGAAGGATTCAAATACCAAAGGATGATGGGTGCGGTGTAAGGAGCCCAAGAAGAAAAGTGCAGTATCCTGAAGATCAGAGCAGAACACTATTACCACCTGAGAGCCTGAGGGGCCAGGGAGGGTCACGAGCAATAGAGAGGGCTGAATGGAAGAACTGGCTGATTTTTTACCTTTGACTGGTAGAGGGACACAGCAGCCAACGGCACCCCTGTGGGAGTTGGGAAAGGCAGAAAAAGAGGGGACCTTAAACTCATTCTCCTTTCTTGGTGTCCTGCCCAACATTCTCCATCAGTCAAACCCAGGGGGCAAGGGAGGCAGCCCATACAGACCAACCTCCCATGGCAACAAATAGGGCAGAGGAGGGAGGAGACAAATCCAGTGTGGTACCTGGAAACTATTGAGCACCCACCTGATCCTGGTGGATTTCCCCAATGGAAGAATAGTTTCAGCTTGTGAACAGTTGAGAGCTGACTACTTGAAATCCCACTATCCAAATAAGCGTAGATAAAAAATGAGCAGATTACCTCTTACATCTCATGTCTAGAATAGACTTCCCAGACTCCATGGCATGGTAGCTCTTTTCTCCTGGGCTAAGGCCCCACACTTTGTAAACCAGGAAGGCAGCTGAATGTCTCATTTGTGTTACAAAGGATGTAAGAGAGTGCACTACCAGTAAAAGGTAACAAGTGTTGTATTCTGATGAAGTTCACATGCTTTGTCTTATCTGCTGCTCTCAGTAACTTTATGAGGTAGTTACTACTATCCCTGCCATTTTACAGATGAGAAGACTGAGTATCAGAGAGGAAGCAACTTAGTCAAGGTCTTATAACTAAGTAGTGTTTTAAGGATTTAAATCCATTCAAGTCTGGATCCTAATGACTAAGTTATTTATACATGTCACAGGTGCTTTCCTGGTTTGTACAGTATGGGGGGATCTCAGCATAGGAGGAAAGAGCCAGTGAGGGGACAGAGTCACCGTAGCAGTTGAGCCAGTATAATGTTATTTGCTCTTTCTTTATTTTGGAATCCTACCATTTCAGATTCTCAGGGTTTATAAAAGGCTATTCTAAGAGCTAATGAATAAAGAAATACTGATATATTCATACAATAGAATACTTGTCAGCAACAAGAAAGAACAAACCTTTCATACAAGCAGAAGCTTAGATGAATCTCAAAAGAATGAATACTGAGTGTCATAAGTAAGACCCAGAAGATTACATACTCTGTCTGTTGTGATAGAAATCCCATCACTGGGGCAAAAGTGAAGACCTAAGACCAGAGGAGTCCTAGAAATTTGGGGAAAGGGGAGAATGAAATGTTCTGTATCTTGATTGGAGCAGTAGTCACAAGAGAGTATATATTTGTCAAAAGTCCTCAAACTCTGTATTTAAAAAGGGTAGAGTATATTTTATAGTATACAAATTGTGCCTCAATTTGCCTGATTACAATTATGAAAATGCATTTTAATAAAATTCCCCCAACTGATTTTGAACCATAAGCACAGACCAGAGATAAAACAGATGATATACTACAAATAAATGGAGCCAAATACAAGAACCAAAATTAATGCGATTTCTTCCCTTGGCAAAATTACCATCTATGAGGTGTTTTTCAAACCTGAATTACCTTGAATTTCTTTCTTTCTTCTTCTTTCCAACCTAGAATGGTCAGTTGGAGTGTGTCCGCTGGATGGTGAGTGAAACCGAAGCCATCGCTGAGCTGAGCTGTTCTAAGGATTTCCCAAGCCTGATTCATTACGCAGGTTGCTTTGGCCAGGTAGGAAGAATTTTTAATGATCAGATTTATAAGCCATTATTTCCTTGTAATATATTTTAATGAAAAACATGCTTAAATAACCTAAATATTCCATAATTAAGGTATTGGATAAATAATGAAGCTACATACCTATGATGAAATTTTATGAGAAAACATGGTCATTATATAATATTAAAATGTGTGATACAAAACCATTCATAAAATTTGGTTACCAGCTTTGAATTCTGGAGAGAGAAGAAGAGAAGTAGGTGATAAGACTACAGAAAAAACTGTCACAACATGTTTATAGTAGATATCACTTAGGGTAGAATTAGAAGTGGCTTTTATCTTCTTTTTTGTATTTTTCAGTATTTTTCAAGTTTTCTACGATAAGTGAATTTAATTTTTGTCAAAAGGGAAAATGATAAATTTTCTTGTACCCAACATTAAAGGGGAAATCTTCAGTAAGTCAATAATTAAGGAAGTCTCCCTCTATTAAAAATAAACAAACACAGTAACTATAAATGTGTCTCAGTTACAACCAGTTTCTACAATAGGAAATCCTGGTATGAGTAATTGATGTAGACAGATCACAGTCCAGGGTATGGAGTAAAAAAAATAACCAGTAACTCCCTTTGAGAAGGGTAAGTATAAATTATATATGTATTTTAAATTGGAACCACAAAATGCCAATCTCAGTCTTAAAAAAATAAATAAAGTCAGCACTGTATTAAAATAGATTTAATCATATTTGTTTGTGGCAAAGAAAATTGCTTCTCGTGCATATAACCATATCCCCTTTGGCTTCAAAAACTTTCCCAATGGCAGTAAATTGTGGTATTGTCAACAAGAGATTATGCTTTTTCGAGCATGACAATCTCAAGTTCAAAAAATACCCTTGGAGAATATCACTACAGTCTTTCTCTAGTGGGAGTCCGTGTTAGGTGCTAGCTATTTGGTGCCATGGTGACTTCAGTTATATACATACATATTAATATGTAATGTTTCCAGTATGTGCCAGGCACCAGGCCATTGGGTTTTGCATGCATTATCTGACTTGTTCCTTAAAACAATGCTGTTGGATTCTATTGTTCTTAGCCATTCTGTAGATGAGAGTGAAGAAAGAAATTTAAGTAACTTGCACATGCCTAGGAAGCAGAGATTGCATCTCAGCTGAGACCCTGTGACTAGAAAACCAGATCCTGTTTTGTCTCGCTGACGTAGATAATTTGTTTAGCCTGTTTACAGCAGCATTGATCTAGCTGAGGAAGACTTTTTCACAATGTTAGCTAACAACACACTGTGATACACAGCTCATCAAAGAAGGGAGAACCTGGCACTAAATTTATGAGATGAAGAAAGAAGCAGGAGGAACATTTAAAATCTGTCAACGTTAGGCTGATCTGGAAAAAAAAATTTTTTTCAAAGCCACTATCTTTGAAATAATCACTCCATTCTCTCTGTGTAGTGTCCTTGCAAGCCCCAGCCACAGAATTCTACCAACAACCATAATAGTTAATGAGCATTTGCTAAGGATGCCCTTTTTTGTTGTTTATACTGGCAAGGGGGAGAATAGAATTTTCAAGTGACCAGAAGAATGTCATCACTGATGATCTTCATAAATCATTTTTGGTCTAAAATGGAATGTTATTTATTCCCAGACTGCCTGCATAAATGTTTCATATCTCTGATTTCATTTCGCTCTTCTTTCCTCACAAGGAATTTCAGATACCAGTGGAAAGACTACCTGCACTTTTGGTAGGGCTTGCCAAAGAAAAGGAGGAAAGGATTGCATCACTGTGCTGAGACTCTAAGTAAATAATTGGGCTCCCGGCATTCTTTGTCTTGGGAAATGCTGCTTAATGCATGCCACTTTCTCCGTTCAGCTCTCGCAGTGGGTTTCTCATAATTGTGAACCTACTGGGACAGAACCAAGAGCAGGTGCCCTTTCTGGGACTGGTGGGTGATGGCATGGCCTACTTGACCAGACTCGAGGAAAATACAGAAATGGGTGACCTAATTGAAGAGCCATGTCAGACATTTGCCTCATGCTAGTGTCAGCATCCAGGTGGTTATTTCAAGCTGATAAGCATTGTTAATGACCTTGAGTCCAGTGTGGAGCAAGGCCAGCCCAACAGTGCCCTTAGGAGAGCATTCCTATCCATGTGGAAAGCCTAGAAGCCCTTTAGAGCTGTGAATTCTCTTCTGTCCAGCCATTCTGTGTCCTCCCACAGGCACTTATGTAACAGATAACCTGTGGAGATGCTGAACTTGGAACCAGGACAAGGCTAATATTTTCACAAGGAAGACTATTACCAAAAAGTTTTCTAATGGATTCAGCACATGCAAGTTTTTCGATATCAGGCAGGCACTTGAGCGTGTTCTGGTCTTGTTTCTTGAGTAAATACCTCTGGAAAGGATAGTGCAGAGCAAAATTCCTCTCCTGGTTTATTTTCATTGCCCTCTGCCCCTCATATAGATTTTGAAAGACCGGGCTCTCTCTGACTCCCAATTTGTGTCCTTTTTCTTGTAAAAATGACCTTAAAAACTCCAGTACCACAGGGCAGCCAGCAGTTTTTAGTGGTCTCCTGGAGTGATAGATCTTTGGGTGATTTAATCGATTTTCCTCATCCTGACACATGAAATCTCAGAGGATGCAATTATTTCATGGCCTGATTGTCCAGAGCAGAGGCAGCCATGGGGAGTGCCAAGGCAAAAGCTGTGGAGGAAACTCAAGGATAAAGCAGGAATGGCCTCCAGTCAGCCTGCTTTGCTGTCCCAGGAGAGAGATGTTGCTGGCGAAACAAGTGAGCCAGAATGGTCTCAAGACAGAGCCACCAGCTGTGCAACTGGGGCTGGGTTCTTTCACCACGGAGGTTCCTGCATGCTCATGCCTGCCCCCAGCAAAGCTGTTGCCCTTCACTGCGTAGGGATTCCAGCCCATTCTGCCCTGGACATTATTGGCTCAGTGGACTCTGTGTTACCTTCAAGCATCAAACCTTGTGATTGTTTCAGTCCTGAGTCTTTCCTATGACTTTTGGTAAGGAGATCCTGCTACAGAAACAAGGTCCGTCATAGCATTCGGCATATACCAAGGGCACCTTTGCCTGCGCTGCGTGTGTTCCCCATTTTAAATGTTGGACCTAACGTGGGTGGGTGGGCAGGTACTTTTTGGAAAAAGAAAAGGCTCAGTTCCTATGAATGGTCACAAACAGTGATAGGCATGCTGGCAAGAGGGATTCTTCAACAGGCTACATGTTACTGTTTCTCTGCAATCAAAAAAGCAAGCTATTCTCTTGACTTCTTTCTTTCACCATCCTGGGGTGAAAATCAGGAAACCATGTGGACAGTGCTGTAATTGCAGATGAAAACAAAATAGAAAAGTCTTTGATTAGAATGAGCATCTATCTGCTCTCCAAGGCCAGATCTCTGAAACAGCCTCGGTGACACAGAGCTCCGTGAACCCACAGGATGATGGGCTGTTAACTGTGCTTTCTGTGACCCAAGGGGGTGCCAAATAAGCATGTCCATTACAGAATCAGGGGTCATGGGTCAGTGAGTGGTTGTGGATGTTCATACTCAGTAGAGAGAAAGCAGAGACCTGAAGAACACTGACTCTGTATCTGGGTTTAAATCGTAGCTCTACCACTTACTAGTTTGGTGGCCTTGGAGACATATATTTTTTTTAAAAAAGGAACTATCTCTCTGGATGTCAGTTTTTTCATCTCTAACGTAGAGATAAAAGAACCTGCTTCACCAGGCAGCTCTGAAGACTAAGTAGAAAAAAGCCACATGAAGCGCTGCCCATTGCTGGCACAGAGCAGACATAAATGTTGGTTCTTAGGATTATTGGATGTCTTCCAATTTCCTATTTTTATTGATATCAATATTGTTCAGTTTATGTATTTTACCATAAGTAAAGCATAAGGGAAACTTGGCAAAAAGAATTATTTAGACCTTAACCTATTTAAGAAATCCTTGGATATATTCTTTTTTTCTCACATTTTATTATCTCTGGATTCTCCATTTATCTTATCATAAATGACATCATGAAATTATGGCTTGTCACTTTTTTATACTTCAACATCTCAAAAACCAGACTGAATCCTAGAATTGATAGTGTATTAGATTTGATGATATACGATTGCAGAAAAAGCTGCCTCCTTTAGGACTTAGTTAAACGAAAACTGTAGAGACTATATTGATGCTAGTAATAAACCTATGGCACCCTTTCCAATTACAGTTTTTATTAGACTTTGTCCAGAAAATCTGGTAAATTACATGTTTTAATTGCCTCATTAAACTAATTGCATTGCTGTTAAGAACACAGAAAATACACCAATAAACAGGTCACTGAAAGAGCAGAAAATCCCCAGAAGAGGAAACCAGGACATGAAGGAAGTTTTTAGTCAAGAGATGAAAACTGAATGGATCAATGAGTGTGTGCGTAGATGGGTAAAATGTTAAGTTGGAGAGGCATTCCGTAAAACAGAAATAACACAGAACAGCCTCTCCATCCGTATGACTTCATTGGATGATTTCTGAAAGCAGTACTTATGAGAAAAATAAAAATCAGAAATTATATTCTTGGAGCACCTGAGTGACTCAGTCGGTCAAGAGTCTGCCTTTTGCTCAGGTCATGATCCCAGGGTCCTGGGATGGAGCCCCACATCAGGTTCTCTGCTCAGCAGGGAGTCTTCTCCATCTCCCTCTGCAGCCGCCCCCACCCCCAGCTCTCTCTCTTACTATCTAAAATAAATCAATAAAATACTAAAAAAAAAAAAGAAAAGAAATTACATTCTTCTTTGAACATCTCCCTGACACACACATGCACACATACGCACATGCACATGCACGCACAGGAAGAGAGCACTGAATGTCTAAGAAAGAAGGTAGACTCACTGCATATATATTTAATACACATATGCATTCATAAAGACCCTTCTTAGTTGGAGAAGATAGTTGTATTTATTCTCTTTATTGGCTATTTCTCCTATAAGCCGCTGTTTGAATTATAAGACCATCGATTTCTGCTGGCGTGTTCTCCAGAATCAGAGCAGAAAGCAACATTTCTCTGAGAGTGGATGCTAAATGTGCTTTTACCAGAACCCGAGAATTCAAGAGTTTTTGTTTCCATGAAATTTATCAGTGAACAGATGGATTATGTCGCTTCTTACTAAAGAACATTGCCGGGGCAGCCTGGGTGGCTCAGCGGTTTAGCGCTGCCTTCGGCCCAGGGCCTGATCCTGGAGACCCAGGATCGAGTCCCACGTCAGGCTCCGTGTATGGAGCCTGCTTCTCCCTCTGCCTGTGTCTCTCCTCTGTCTCTCTCTCTCTCTCTCTGTGTCTCTCATGAATAAATAAATAAAGTCTTTAAAAAAATAAAAAATAAAGTACATTGCCAACTTCAGAACACAAAACTGAATTTGGGGTGCTGGGCAAAGACCTTCCTTGTTCTGAACAATAGAATAATGGTTCTTCCTTTATATAAATCTTGCATATTGAATTGGGTAAGATCTCTAATTATAAGGAAGAGTTTTTCATGCCATCAGAAGAAAAGAAGGCAGGTTCTTGAACAATACGAATTAACTTGGAAGAGCATTGGGAGCCAACGCAGCTCTTGCCTCATACAAACCTTGGCCTGTTTGACCAGATTTTCAAGCCACTGCAAAGTCCAGGTCTCTAGATTCTTCTCCATGTTTCTACAAGGGAAAAATTCCTACTCTTTTGAAATACAGTATTCTGCTTCTGACAACCCTGTTATTAAAAGTCAAAACACTGTGAATGATGGCAAAGGGCATCTTCTGTAGAGGTGGAACAGACTTATCCACTTTAATATTAATTGAATCTGAAAAATGTGAAAATATGCCTGACAAGAAGGTATATATAGAATATTTCAAATGATCTTGCAATCCTCTGAACTTGACTTGCTGAAGAAAGGGGCTGCTAGAACATCAGAGAATATATACTTGTCTTCTTTGGCTTTTGGATTTGTCAAACAAGGGTGTTTGAATTGGATAATTCCCTGAAGTCTCTCCCACTCTGCAATTTTAAGATTCCATGACTTAATATCATAGAGCAAGCCAAGTGACCACACGCTTCAGAACAACCCACTGAGGTGGCAGTACTGTCCTTTTTACCTGTCGAGTCATGGCAACCTGCCCTCTTGATGTTTCCAGATCTTCACCATTGGCTTCAAACCAGTTGGTTATGTTTTCTCATCCCGCAGTATGTCCACTCACCCAGATCTTTTAAGGAGTTAAGATCACACAGTAGAATCATCTGACTCCAAATCAAAGTCATACTGTTTTTTCTCTTCCTAATTAGAAAAAGTAAAGAAAGTCGTTCCGCCCTGTACAGATGAAACATCACCCATGCTGGTCCAAATATCAGCCCCAACTTTCTTCAGTTTGCCTCTGAAGAAAAGGACAAGCATATCTGCATACCCTTGTCCAGATTGTAGCTCCCAGCCCTGGTCTCCAGGCTCTGCTCCACCTCATTCTCCACGGATGTTGAGGGTTTCATGTTGTACAGCGTCTGTCTGCTTTTGCAGCTGACACTCCATCTGCTTTTCCTGCGTGCCTTCCTGGTAGGTTATAGGTATTGATTACATGTTTCCCTTCTTGTTTTTTAGGGGTCTTACTCCTTGCTCACTCACGTGAAAAGAGGAGTAAGGTGCAGATGTTTGTCCTGTCCCTGATGTTGCCAGTGCCTTCATAAATAGTGCCCTGCACCTCCCCAACGAGGGCTGAAGCATTAGAGTTGGCTATTTTTATCCAACATTCCTTTAGCAGATTAGTTGGCATGTTCAGAAGGTGAAGGCAAATTTAATACAGAAAAGTATAAAAGTTCATGACCAGTCTGAGCAAGGAACTGGAAAAAGAGGGGAAAAAAAAGAAAAATAGAAAAAAAAAAAACCTTTCAAAGGCTAAGGAGAGGTTCAAGGCTATTTCAAACACATGATCATTTTTTTAAATGTCAAATTCCACTCACTAAACTTCATGCTGTTGTTTTTACCACTCTTATATTTTTTTAACATTATATTTAATTCTTCTATTTTAAAACAGTGAAATCCCATCCCCCTGCTTTCTCCTGAGGCCAAACATAACATGAAAATACCACAAAATACTCAGTGGGTAAAATGCAAACGGATTTTGACAACATGCTGAGCACACTGTGTCCTTGCTCTTGAAAGGTTGTATTCAGAGCATTGAGTGCTCTCCACTTAACAAGGAATAAGGGAAACCTTTCCTTTTGAAATTTCACTAACATTTGGTCAGAAAAATCAAGAGCGTCCTGGTTTTCTTTCAGTGAGGTTATCTTATGCTTAACAATTTAAGCTTGTGTTTCTCCTTGTCAGTCTGTTGATTGCAGGAGGTCTGGGATCATGAAGGTGTGGTTGAAACGTTATCAGCTTCAGAGGAGAAGCTGGTTCTCCTAATGTAATATTCTGGAACCCTAAAGACAGCATAACAAAGTAGCAAAAACATTGCCTTAGCATGGAAAGACTCAGATCCTGGCCCCCACTTTTGATCTGTCTAGCTGTGTGACTTGGAGGAAGTACTCAAAACTTTCTGTAAATCAATTTTGCATCTCTTGAGTAAGTAAGTAAAACAAGAGCATTTTTGACATAACTTTCCACTCTTCAACTTCTCTGAGCGTTCCTCTTTCATGGACTTGAGCCAGAGAGATGCTTGGATTTTCAGTTCAGAATGAAGGGTATGTTCTGCTGATATGATAAACCTAGGTGTATGAAAGCTTCTCATGTTAGAGTTTTGTTTTCCTTTGTCTTTTTTTCAGACTTGCTACATGATATTCATGATATTCCATTAATAGCAACTGTCTTTGTGTTTATAGGAAAAAATTCTTCTTTGGCTTCTTCAGTTTATGCAAGAACAGGGCATCTCATTGGATGAAGTGGACCAAGATGGCAACAGCGCGGTCCATGTAGCCTCCCAGCATGGCTACCTCGGGTGCATACAGGTACACAGACTCTGCTGCTTTGAGGAGATAAATGAGTTCATCAAGTAATGAAACAAAAAATGGAAATTTTGTTTGCTGGAAGAAATGTGTAGATTAAGTCAGCTTTTTCTGCTATAGTAGATAATAAGGAATTAAGTTGATATATTCGTATATCCAGAAATCCACAGAAATGTTGGCATAAAGAGTCCTACAGGTTTCTCCTTGAGTGTTGCAGGATGTCAGAAGGGACTGGAGAAGGAGGGCTGTGGTTCCCCCTTTCTCTGGGACAGGGTGGAGCTTCTCAAATGCCTTCAGAAAGCCCCAGAACTGATTACAGGGAGGCCTCAGATATACCATTATGGTTCCCCTCAGCCCTTAGGCAGACTAGGTAGTTTGGCAGCCTCTCCACCCAACAGCCTCAGGTGGCCTCATCCTTGTAGTCCTACCTGCCTCACACATGTTACCATGGTCTGTGTGTGTAAGAGTGTAAGATTGAGGAGCAGAGCCACAGAAGAGGTGGGGAGGTTCCTCCCTGTGCCCCCAGCCACCTGAGAGAGTATACAGGAGGATTGCTTAGAGCATGTGGAGTTGCCACAAAAAGACAAGTCAGAACCGCACCTCTCTGCCGAATATTTTGGTGTACGAGGCTGAGCCAAACCTAGTGCCGCCGTCATAGTAACACATGGCTGAAAGCCCAGTGAGGGTCCTCAGAAGGTTGAGGCATGTGTGAATGTAAAAACCAGATAGATCAAAAAATAAATAAAAAAATAAAAAAAATAAAAAAAAAACAGATAGATCCCTTGACTTAAAAAAAATGTTAAGGCCCTCAGTGACAAAGCAGAGAGAAGGGGACCAATGAGAAGGAGGAGGAGCAAGGGATGACCTTGTGAAGGAGGGAAAGGCTTTACATTGAAGCGAAATTTATTTAGATTCAGCCTGGAATTTAATTTATGAATCATATAATGCATCATTACCAGCCTCAGACCAATCTCATCATTCTTATCATGGAAAATGACCCAGCATCTTTGGATGTGTCCCACACCTGCCCAAGATGTAGGAAAGCCGTTTCCTGACTGACACATACTGCTGAGGGCCATGATGAAAGAAGACACTTGACCTCACTGAGCTCACATGGTCCTAGATAAGCTGTGTGTATGTAGCACCTCTAAGAAGGCAGCATCCTTCTTTGCCTTATTATGTGTGGTTTCTTTTATTGCAACTCAGTGTGCTGACTCAACAGGAACTTCTTGGCTTCCTGCTGTATGTGGGTAGACTGTATCCAAAAGAGAAACCCGGGCAGAGAACGAGTTGCTTGGGAAAGGTAGAGGGGACCCTGGAAATGACAGGGGAAGATCTGGAAATCCTGTCACTGGGAAAGGCAAGGGAGTAATAAAAGCAAAAGGCAAGAGGTATCTAGAGCATCTGCCCTTTGGAGAACAAAGTTGATGGGAAATATTCCAGGGCTCTGGAAGTTTCTCCATTAATGTCGGCAACATGTGCCTCTTCTCCTTGAAGGCATCACTCTGTAGAAGCAGGGATGAGAAAGGAGAGCAGAGAAAGAAAGAAATGTTTTTAAATGATTACCAGTATCTACAGAAGATGATAGGGGTGGCGTGACTTTTTGTGGTGGAAAAATAATTGAATATAACTGAAAACTTCAATTTTGTCCGTTTCACAGAACACCCTACTATGTCATAGTCTTGAACTTTTTTTTTTATCTGCTAATAAGTGGCTGAAAGCCAAAGAAAACCAGCTGATAGCACTAATTCTGTTTAAGATTTTGCTTATTTTTCTTTTCTATGTGAAGAGAGGCTGTCTGTGCTTGTGGACCATTCATCTTTCCACTTCACACAAATGATATTTTTGGCACTAGACGCCGTGGCTGTGGAAACTTGGATAATCTTGGAAGCGGGTCTATCCACTGGGTGTGAGATTAAAAAAAAAGACACAGACCAAAGGTAGAACAGAGGGTGAGCCCCTTTGAGGGGAGGCAGAAACTGAGTATAGGAAGCTCAGGGAGGGAACTGGCAGAGGCCAGAGTCAAGGGAGTGGGAGCAGTGAGTGCTGACAGGGATGCTCTGGGTGGGCTGCACCACCGCTGTCAGGTCCATGGCAGTGACTTCGTGGTAGATCGGCCTTTCATGGTGCTGGTCATAAACCAGAAGATGATGCTCCTCGTGATCTCCGAGTTTAAGCAATCTAGGAATTTAAAAATCCTACTGGTCTCTTCTAAAAACAATACCACCCTTTCCTAATAGAAAACCAGAGGTCCAGTCTCATCTTGATGGTGTCAAAGGAGGTGGCAGATGGTAGCAGCTGATTAATATTGATGTAACAGCTTTTTGTGGCATCTCATGTCACCAGTAGAACTAGAAAAGAATTTTGATTTTTTTTTTTAATTAATGATGTCAACCACGGTCCATCAAGTCTCTCTTCTTTCCTAACTGATGCCTTGGCCAGATTCCATAAATCTTGGTGTCACTTCTGATTCAAAGTATTCTGCTCTCCAACCTGAATAAGACTCAGGCTTCAAGGGAGACAGTACGAGGACGGAGGCATGCTTCACTTTGTACACATCACATTAGCTCCTGTTCCCCTCTCTCTGCTGGGCTCAGTGTTGGAGACCAGGAGGTAGGAGAGAAAAGTTAACTGTCTCTTTGCTTAACTGGCAGAGGTCATGGCATGCTCCCCTAAAGTCATCGTTGCTTCTTTGGCGCACTGTGGTGGGCCATTCATGTCCTCCCTGGCAGCCTTCAGATGCTGACCCTCTGCTGGGCATATTGGATGAGGTCTTCAGAGGGCTCTCTGGAGCCTCCCCACAGATACCTGACCCCAGCTTCACATCCTCCTCATCCCATACACTTCCCTCTGCCTGTGTCAACTCACTGCTCTTGCTGCTGGAGACCTCTCCTGTAGTGGGGTGATAACAAGCTTACCCCAAGCCCCCATGCACAATCTCTGCTCAATCCATGGGTCATATTCTTTCCAGCTGCATGGAGGGAGTGTGAGCTGCTTCACAGCCTCTGCTGGTCATCTCTCCAGTTCTTTTTATTTTTGATGGGGTAGGCTCAGCAACAGATCACATATGCTCCCCAAGCAAATGGGAACAGGTAAACAAAATTCCACTCTCTCCTTACAGGCATCAACAACTTTATGGACCCGCCCACTGAAAGGGACAAAGCAGCTCACCCCAGCCACTGCCTCCTCAGGGGACAGACCCCTCAAGACAGCAGCAGGCTCTGCCCCTCACAGATCCCAAGGCTGGGTGGGATTGGTAGTGGTAGGACTGGTTCTGTTGCCAGTTTGTAGGCTCCAAGGGAGGTGTCTGATATCAACCCCTGCAAGCTCACCAGAGGCTTCTTGTACAGAATGATACCCTTCACCCCCTTCCCCACCCTGCTATGGGCTCTGGTAACTGGTGTTGGGTTAATAGGAAAAGCTCCATTCACCTTTCTCTTACAGTCAGTAAAAAAATGTTGCATGGGGGAAAATAATGTTGCAGGGGAGGTTTTGTCACGATCACATGTCTCTGCATTTTCTAATAGACACTGGTTGAATATGGAGCAAATGTCACCATGCAAAACCATGCTGGGGAAAAGCCCTCCCAGAGCGCCGAGCGTCATGGGCACACGCTGTGCTCCCGGTACCTGGTGGTGGTGGAGACCTGCATGTCGCTGGCCTCTCAGGTGGTAAAGCTAACCAAGCAGCTGAAAGAGTAAGTGGCCCGTGCTTTCCGTGCAAACCAAGTCTGGCTTGTCCTCAATTGGCTTCATTTTGAGCCAGGAGCCTTGGGAATCTCCCCTTGTGCCCAGTGTCCAGGAAATTCCTAGTCTTCTTTCCATCTTCTTTTCTTCTTCCATCCCAAGTCCTGCCAGCCAGCATTCCTGCTATGGGTACCATCTCTGCAGAGGCAAAATGATACTTAAGCAAACAAACAATGCAGAGGAGACTTCCCAAGCAGGGAATTTGAGGCACATCAGATGAGCGATGGCCTCTCTCTGTGTGCACATGCACGGCCTGATTACTTAGCAAGCATAGAAAGTACATAGGCACATCATCCCCAAACTCTGTCCTTCACATTCTAGGAAATCACAAAAAGCTGAGAGAAAAGAAATAAACAAACTAGACATGGGCCAGTTTCTCAGTCTTTCAAAAGAAAAATGTATATTTAGGGAATTACAGACAGGTAATCTGGCAACTGTCACCAGTATATTTATTACAAAAATGAAGTGGACAATTTGTGAATCCTCAACGTAAAATAGCATCTGGTCAGCGTGGTGTTATGCAAAACCCTCTTGGTCTAGATGGAGCCAGTTCTGTTCTTGATGAGATTATCAAACTGGTTTCCGTTGCCTACGTGGATGGCAGAAAGCATTTCTAGGAGATTATCATGATATGTCTGAAGAAATGGGAATAGAAGAGAAGCCATCAGGTAGGTCTCTAGTGATACAAAGAATCAAGGAGCTGACACCACCTGAGTAGGCTAAGGTCAAAGGAGTGTCAGATGGTGGCTAAGGTCAGCCCTTGGAAAACACACCAGCCAAAGCACAGTTGCCTGGGGCACCTGGGCGATTCAGTGGTTGAATGACTGCCTTTGGCTCAGGTCATGATCCTAGGGTCCTGGGATAGAGTCTCACATCGGGCTCCCTATGTGGAGCCTGCATCTCCCTCTGCCAATATATCTGCCTGTCTCTCATGGATAAGTACATAAAATCTTTTAAAAACAACAACAACAACAACAACAACAAAACTACAGTTGCCTTACTGGGGAGGGATTTCCTGAAAGCCAGAATCAGTATTCAAAGTCATGTTGGCAGATTAGGAGGATAAACCCAAAAAATTAGATTTTAGAAGCAGAACATGAAGTGTTTTAAATTATTTTTGAAACTACTCTTTTTCCTTTTCTACCTTCTGAAAAGAGACCTTTGGTAGACGGGAGGCCTTCGAGTGTATTGCAGGTGTAATCATGCAGCAGTATGACATGCAGCAGTCCTCAGACCTGCTGGCTCTTCTCTGAGCTGAGAGAAACCATCTGTCTACTTTTACCCTCTTGCCTCAGAAACCAGGTCTATGTACCCTTCAGGCCATCCCCTACTAGAATACTCTCTTTAATGAGCTGGTAAGGATTTTACTAGACACGAATAAGATTTCAAAATTAAATATTAAAGGGGTTGTCTCCAAGTGTCCTCTGTCCAGTTACACAAAACTCCCCTAGGGTAGGTGAGCTAAGTGAGCTTCAAGGACTTAATGCAGTTGAAGGGAAAATACATGCCACCTCACAACTCAGTAGGTTACCTTTCCACAGTGAACATACTCGTGCATATGTCTTTCTGTGCATGTGTAAGCATCTCTAAAGCTAAGTTCCTAGAAAGGCAATTGCTAAAATGCAGGACATACACATTTAAAATGTGGATAGATGTTGCCTAATACCCTTCCAGAAACGTTGTAGCAGTATCCACCCACCCCACCCCACCCCCGCCGTGTAGTGTATGGACGTTCAGAGGAGCTTTAAAAAATCCAATAGAATGGGGTTTTTTCCTTAAATATTCATACTCAGAGGAAAAATCACAAAACACTGTCCTCAGTCTCTGTACCATGAAGCCTGCAAGCTCCTCATGAGCTGCTTTATTGGTGAATTATTCAAGGTCAGGGTCTTGGCTGCCCTCTCTGTTGATGAGCCCAGAATAAAGTACACATGTACACTAATAGATAACAGTTCTTCCGTTGTCTCCAGAGCTAAATGCTGTAGACAGTTACAGGTTGCACTGGAGACCCTGGTCTTTGACTTACTGTGTGCCTCCAAGGATATTGGCAGAATTAGAAGTGAATGGAGAAGTCCACTTAGGATAACCACCTGACCCTGTGTCCTTCAGACTGCAGGGCATAGACAACACAGAAAGGTCCAGGAGCAGGGATGAAAAACATGAGTTCTTCCAGTCCAAAATTCTGAGAGGCAGTCCAGAGTACCTTTTCCTATTAGAGTACCTTTACTGAATCTTTATAGTTAATAAACATAATTACTGGGGTGCCTGGATGGCTCAGTCAGTTAAGCACCTTCCTTCAGCTCAGATCATGATCCTGGGGTCCTGGGATTGAGCTCCACATCAGGCTCCCTGCTTAGGGGGTTGTCTGCTTCTCCCTCTGCCCCTACCCCCTGCTCATGTTCTGTCTGTGTCTCTCTAATAAATACATAAATCTTAAAAAAAAAACTTGTTAATGAATGTAATTACTGTTTAAAAAATGGCAACCTTTAGCTCCATTAGCAGTCCTAATGTATAAGCCGAGATATTACAGATTGAATTATTGCCCCCCACCCCAGCAAGAGTAGTTTGGAGTATATCAGAATATCCGCTTATTTGGAGATAAAGTCTTTATAGAAGGAGTCAAATTAAAGTGAGGTCGTTCGGGCGTGCCCAAATCCAGTATCACTGGCATTGTTGTAAGGGGGAAATTTAAATGTGGATACACACACACACACACACACACACAGGGAGAACACCACGTGAACATGAAGTCAGGGATCAGAGTGATGCATCTACAAGCCAAAGAATGCTAAAGATTGCCAGCAAACCATGGGCAACAAGGAGAGAAGCACGGAACAGCCTCCCTCACAGCCCTCAGAGAGAACCAGCATTGTCCACACCTTGGTCTCAGACTTCTAGCCTCCAGAGCTATGAGAAAATAAATCTCGGTTGTCTAAGCCCCCAGCTGTGGTGATACTTGGCTACGGTGGCCCTAGCAGACTAGACATATGCCCACATATGTTCACACGGTCCGTATACTTTTAAAAATTCTTATTTCACATGATCACACATTTAAAATTGGGCAGTCCTTGCTGAGGGCCTCTGTAGAATCTAGAGAGAGTAGAGTCCTTTTTTTATTCCCCATTCATACCTGGAATTCCGATCTGCAGTTAACCCAATTGGCACCAAATAGTTTTCTTAACTGTATCATAATTCACTTTGACACCTAATAAATCCTTTTACTGTAGACCATAATCTTGCTTGATCTGCTCTAGCCCCTCACTATTTTTTTTAAAAAGCTTGACTTGTAATACCAGCTTGCAAAGTGAGAAAAGTAGAATGTTCTTATTCTTTAGGGTTAGCAGACTATAGACTATGGGCCAAATCTGGCCCACTGTCTGATTATTTTAAATAGTTTTATTGGAACCCAGCAACACACACATTCATTTACCTATCACATACGGTTGATTTCACTCTACAAAAGCAGAGTTGAGTAGTTATGACACAGATCGTATGACTTGTCCTGGCTCAGGAGAGGGCCTACTGTTTTAGGCATATGACTCATATGATCATAAGCCTAAAATATTTACTATTTGACCCTTTAGGGAAAAGTTTGCTGTCTCCTTCTGTAGATAAGTTTTCAGCAGGTGAGTCGCAGAATGAGTGAGATAAATTGTAATCACAGGCTTTTCTTGTCTTAGGGATTAAATGTTAGGAGTAAGACTGACCACGTCTGAAAAACAGAGTATTTGGGGGAGATGGAAGGGTGTCATCCCAGTGTGACCTCACAGAATTAGATTTAGGCAGCCAATGGTTGTTGAATATGTGTGGTGACACTTGGTGAGAAGAACACTGGGCTTCTTCAGGCCTGGATTTAAGGTCTGGCAGTCATTTGAAGAACCCTTGCGACTCAGGGCACTTGGGTGGTTCAGTTTGTTAAGTGTCCAATTCTTGATTTCAGCTCAGGTCATGATCTCAGGGTTGTGAGATCAAGCCCGTGTTGGGCTCATGCTCAGTGGGGAGCCTTTTTGAAATTCCCTCTCCCTCTGCTCCTCCCCCACCCCTGCAACCCACTCAGGCACCACATGTTTGTTGACACACACTGTCTCTGTAAAACAAACAAACAGAACACTTGCAAGTCATTCATTTAGTTCTATGTCCTGGCTCAGGAGAGGGCCTACTGTTTTGCTGCTAATTGTATTAGTTTTCTATTCCTGTAACAAATTACCACACACCTAGCGGCTTAAAATAACACAAATGCATCTTACAGCTCTATGGGTACAAAGGCCAGAATGGGTCTCCAGATTAAAATTGAGATGTCCACATGGAACACTCCTTCTGGAGGCTCTAGGGTAGGGTGGTTGCAGAATCAGTTCCTTATGATCATAAGATCAAGGTCCCCTTCTTCTGCGGCTGTCAGCAAAGGATCACTGCCAACCCCTAGAGGCCAGTGTATTTCTTGGCCCATGGCCCCTTCCTTCATCTTCAGAGCCAGCAACCACAGATCAAGTCTTCACACTTTGAGTTGTCTCTGACCTCATCTTCTACCTCCCCCTCAATGTTAAAGATTTTTGGTTAGATTGCATAACCCATAATAGTAATAACCCAGGATAATCTCCCTGTTTTTTTTTATCAGCTGATAAACCTTAATTCTACCTGCAACACAAATTCACTTTTGCCACAAAGGGTAGCATAGTCCTACCTTCCAGGGATTAGAATATGATAGATATCTTTGAGGGGGGATCACCACCCTGATACTAGAGGTCAGTAAATACTGCTTATTCTTCTATGAGTCAGAATCAGTTGGCTTTGATTTTCTCAAATCCTGTAATATGCTTTCTAAACAGATTTCAATTTCTCTAACCTGTGGCTTTTAATTTATTTTCTTAAATTTAAAGCACATTGTATTCACATGCTTTAATCTCCAGAACAAATTGAGTGTTGCTATACTGTGCTTCCCTTCATGTAAGAAAATACCAAGTTATTTAATTGTTTTTACCTAGTATAGAAACAGTTGTTGTTTTATTTTGCTCTTTTCTGATTACTAAATTAATTCAATTACTTTAAAGACTTAAACAATTTAGAAAGAGTATATAATATATAAATATAATAGAAGTATATATGTTACAAATAATATATATGTGTTATGTAGAGAGATTTCTTTAAAATATTATATTACACACAGTATTTTATAACTCCCTTTTTTACTTAATATATGTATGTATATGTATATATAAAGTGTACTTTATATATGCACATATATTAGGGAAGCATTTTCTATGTTGTAGATACTGAAATGTATTATCATTTTTAATAGCTGCCTTTGTGGAAATAACTAAATTATTCACTTAGTCTTGTTGATGAGCATTTAGGTTGCTTACAGTTTTTTGCTAATATAAATAATAAGCATCTTTTTGGGTACTCTGTTGTTTCCCTAGGAAAATTTTTGCACTCTAAGGATGAAAAATATGTACATATGTGTAAGACTTCGGGATTTGTTGCTATTCATTGCAAGTAATCATGTAAAGGTTTATACCTACTCATTTATAGTATTGGCTGGGTATCAGAGAGCTTATATGTTTCCGTTTGTTTTTCCTAGACAGACAGTGGAACGTGTCACACTGCAGAACCAGCTCCAGCAACTTCTAGAAGCCCAGAAGTCAGAATCACTCCTTTCCTCACCCAGGTAATATCAGGAGTAGGAATGGTGAGAGTTCTTAGTGATCTTTAATCTCTGAGCCTTCTTTTGGAGTTGTAGAAAAAATATCTTTACGAAGACAACAGTATTGTATTTTTATAAAGAGGAAAGGAATTGAGACCATACAGGGGGAAAAGGCTTTGGACCTAAAGTCAGAAGACCTCGGTTCATCTCTGGCTCTGCCATTTCTTCATTCCCTGATTGTAGGCAAGTCACGTGCATCCTGGAATGAAGGGATCTTTCAGATTCCTTCATTTCTTCATCTGTGAGATAGGAATAAGGATGTATGTAGGTTCATAAGATCGTTGAAAATGAGAAAAATGATAAAATTTGCACAAAATTGCTGCATAAACAATCAAATGGTAGACAAATTTAGCGTCATGGCATTAGGTGCGAAGCACTATACGTTGGTCATGGTTGGCACTACAGAGTATTTGCAGATTGATTTGCACAGACATTCAGGGATTATTCGTAGTCCTGCCCTGTTGATTTGTTGTAAGTCGTTTGTGGCAGTGAAGGAAATCAGTGATAGGAAATAAACCTCATATGTTCTTCATCATCTTTTAGTTCACCATCCTCCCCAGCTTCCAGAAGGTCCCAGTGGAAACCTCCAGATGTGGATGATGAGTCTGTAGCCAAAGGCAAACCAGGAGTCCAAGAAGGGATTCAGGTTCTCGGAAGCCTGTCAGCATCCAGTCGAGCTAGAGCCAAGGTGAAAGACGAGGATTCTGACAAAATTCTCCGCCAGTTACTGGGAAAAGATATCTCAGAGAGTGTCTGCACCCAGGAAAAGCTGTCCTTAGAATTCCAGGATGCACAAGCTTCCTCCAGAAACTCAAAGAAGATCCCAGCAGAGAAGAGGGAACTGAAATTAGCTCGGCTAAGGCAGCTGATGCAGCGCTCCCTGAGTGAGTCTGACACTGATTCCAACACCTCTGAGGACCCCAAGAGCACGCCTGTGAGGAAGGCTGACAGGCCCCGACCGCAGCCCATCGTGGGAAGCGTGGAGAGTGTGGACAGTGCGGAAAGCTTACACCTGATGATAAAGAAACACACCTCGGCGTCAGGACGTAGGTTTCCTTTTGGCATCAAGGCCTCCAAGTCTCTGGATGGTCATAGCCCATCTCCCACCTCAGAGAGCAGCGAACCTGATGTGGAAGCCCAGTGTCCCGGCTCAGGGACCACTCCCCCAAGTCAGCCCCTGGGAGACCCTACTCAGCCCAGCCCTGACAGCACTGCCGCCCAGAAAGTGGCCATGAGCCCCAAGAGTGCCCTCAAGTCTCCATCTTCCAAGCGCCGGACATCCCAGAACTTGAAACTCAGAGTTACCTTTGAGGAGCCTGTGGTGCAGATGGGACAACCTAGCCTTGAGCTAAATGGGGAGAAAGACAAAGACAAAGGCAGGACCCTCCAGAGGACCTCCACAAGTAGTGAATCAGGGGACCAACTGAAAAGGCCTTTTGGAACCTTCCGATCTATCATGGAGACACTCAGTGGCAACCAGAACAATAATAATAACTACCAGGTGGCCAACCAGCTGAAAACATCCACGCTACCCTTAACCTCACTTGGAAGGAAGACCACAGATGCCAAGGGAAATCCTGCGAGCTCTGCTAGCAAAGGAAAGAATAAGGCGGTGAGTGCTATTTGGAGAATATCACTTTTTTTTGCTTTTGAATTCACTGTGCTATTCCTATCGCTACAGATTATTGACCTTTGCCACCTTGAGGGAATCCCCAGAAAAATCCCAAAGGGATGCGTGGAAAACCAACTGCGTGTGTTTTCTGATGAGATGTGTCACATTACTGTATATATGCTTTGCTCTTCCTTTGAAAAACACTCTGAGAAAGAAAGATTACATCATAGGACATCATATTCTGGTCCCCTGGTTGCCCTAAATAGTTTGATCCTTGAGGGTTAGGATTCCTAAACTGAGAGGCATGTCTACAAGGTCAGACCACCAGTCGATGTGAAATCTTCCTTAGCACTGATTCTTCCCTGGCAAGAGTTTATTCCCAAACCCAGTTAAAGAGCACATAAAGAGATACTCTGTTTCTAAAGATTTAAGTACTCAACCTTGGAATGACCTTTGAAATGAATACACCACAGGGACCTCCGCATTGGCATTTTACAACACAAACCCCTAAGCGTTGATCAGGATAATGCTATAGTGGTCTGTAGCGCTCAGTACATGAGGGATGGCAGAGTGGGCCATGAAACTACATTTTATAATTGCATTTTCTGGAAAACCATGCACTATAATCTGTGGTTTAGAACCAGTGAATAAGAGATACGAACATCTTTTTAGGCGATGTTTCCTGTGTGCTCTCTGTATCCCATGTGATCCTCCCCTCAACCCCCCAAAAAATAGTGTAGCAACCAAAATGTGCAACTCTGAGGAATGGAAGGACCCAGAATATCCATCCTTGCAATCTAGGCAGTCACAACCTGCATAAGCAGTTATTTGCCATAAAGTAAAATTCTATTACAGGGAGGCTTAAGCCTGTCCAGATTCCTTTTCAATATCAAACTGGAGCATTAGTTAATAATCTCTTTGATTAATGCCAGTTTTAACTCCACGGTGATTTCCAGCATGAATTGTCTTTGTTGTAAAGGACTTCAGCGGGTATGCATTTCAGCCAGAAAAGTCACACCCGTGCCCCCAAACGCCAGCCCCTTTGGGTGTCACATGTCCAGCCTTACCTGCTCAAATAAGACTTTCCCAGGGAACTTAATGGGTGCTGTCACTTAGGAGGGCAAGAATGATCTCAGCGGCTCCCTGTGCCTCTTAAACTGTGTGTGAAGCTTCTGTCTGCTAATCTGCTTCCTTGCGTGCCTCCTGTTGACTGAGTCGTGTGCATGCGCCGAGCTTTTGTTGCATGTTTTCAGATGATGTTTAATTGCACCTCTCTAGGAGATGTACGGCAGCTGCGTCACCCTCTCTTCTAACCTGCTGACCGAAGAGCCTCTGCGTAACCATGCACGGTACGTGGTGCTAGCGGGTGCCTCGGCAGCGGCATGCCTGTGCTTCCAGTAGCCTCACCTTTTTAAATCACAGTACCAGAGCAGCCTTGGCAGGAGCTGATACCAAGAAAGAAGAAAATGCCCCTTCCCCCCCCACCCCCCTCCCCAGTAGAAGCAGCCAGTCTTATAATGGGGCCTTAGAAAGGGACCAAGCGCCCAATTGGCGGGGCTTTATTCCAGCAGCAGAGGAGTCTACTCAGCTTACAAACAGGCTGCGTCTCCGGGTTGACTTTGGCTTTCAGGCTTTGTTTTAATGGAGTCAAGTACCAAGTAAGTATAGACATTAAATTTCCTGTCCCGGGCAGACGGAGTCGATCTCTGATCAGAATCGGAGCTGTGAAGCAGAGCTGAGGTTTTCTTTCGTTGCTGATCCCAGACTGAAAGCTCCTTTCATCACCGAGCGCACGAGAAGCAGGGCCCTGCCATCCTGAAGTTGCTCTAGCCGAACGCTGGCACCCCCATACCCCGCGGCGCACCCGGCCCGGGGCCGCCCCAGACAGAATGGTTACGCTTCAAAATGCACGGGCTGTGCGCAGGAAAGGATCATCTTCAAAGGTCCCCAGTGGCCCAGGCGCCTCCCTGGGCAAAGTCCTTCTGCTTTCTTTCCTCCCCTGCCCCCCAGGGAAATGTGAACTGCTCGCCCCAACACCCCCAGAAGCAGGAAAAGGAAGGAGTGGACAGCGAGTTCCCACTCTCAATGCTCCAAGACTGGCATCTTGCTGAAGAAACCCCCCCAGAATACATTTTAAGGGAGACTGTCTCTTTTAAGTCATTCGAGCTTGCTTTATTTTTTTTTAAATATTTTATTTATTTATTCATGAGAGACACAGAGAGAGAGAGAGAGAGGCAGAGACACAGGCAGAAGGAAAAGCAGGCTCCATGCAGGGAGCCCGATGTGGGCCTCGATCCTGGGACTCCAGGGCCGGAGGCAGATGCACTGAGCCACCCAGGTGTCCCTCGGGCTTGCTTTAATATAAGTATTTAAATTAAAAGAAAAATATAGCACACCTTGCGGCACCCTCCCCCAAATCCTCTGCAGTGTTTTTGCAAATGTGTGTATGTTTGTCTGTAATGATAAACACACCCCAACGGGGAGAGGGGTGGTGTTGTGAGCATCAACTTTAGTCCAGAATACTAAGGAGCAAGAAACGTCACTCTTCCTCCCTCCCCCGATCCCTGTAAGTCAAATCTAACTGCTCCAGCTCTCTGGTCAGCCTAGAGGAAAGCATATCTTAGTCACTTCAGGGAGTACCCCAGAGGTCTCATTAATTCAGTACATCCAAGGAAGCACCTTGGAACTTAAGTATTTACTGGTCACCAGCATTCAGCTTGGGTCAGGCTCGCATGGTGCTGGAGTCTGGGCTACTTCTGGCCACCCCAGGGCAGGGAATCTTGGCCAGTTCTGAGTCCAAGGCCTGAGGTAGGAAGGAAATAGAAGAAAAAAAAAAGTACTTTCCCGTCCCAGATATGGGTACAGGTCCTCCCTTTCTCTCAACCTCCCCAGCCCCCTACCCTTCTCAGTCTCAGGTGAGCTTGGGTGTGTCCTCTGGTACCTGGAAAATTCTGGGTTTTTGTCCTTAAACAGAAGTCACCAACAGTACCTTCAGGAAAGACAGACCAAAGACTTGGCAGACTCTTGGGAGGGAGAAGAACGCCTCTCATCTCTCGAAGGTTCTCGCAGTACCTGGAAGTAAGACAGCAAGCATCACAGTAGATTGTCCTGCCAGAAATACTTCATCCTGTCTTTTCACAAGCAAAAGAACAAAGCTGAACAGTCCTCTATAAAATAATTATAAAAGTCAGAGACCAAATGAGGCTTTAGGGCTACTGAGCTATCCAACCCTCGGTTAATACTTTCTACTCAGTTTAGGGAGCAGTCCTTCGGAAGGCTAAGCTTTGAACCTCAGAGTCACTGGCTTTATGGATTAACAGAGTTTGATTTCAGCGGTAAACAGAAACCTGAAATTAAAAATACTCAGTGTATTTAAATAAGCAATCCTGAACCCTTCCCCTCCCTACCTTATAATTAACCCCTGCTTGATCATGGTTTCCACTTAACATGTGTTCCAGAGAAAGTGAAGAGTCATCGTTTGCTCACACTAGAGAGGGGAGGTTTCTCAGATTCACTCACAATTACACAGAGGCAGAGAGAACTGGCCCACGTTCACTCCTTAGATAAGATAAGGAGGGCTGGCTGTCATGGAAATGAAGCTCCCTCGGAAAAATCAACACTAGCTTGAGATCATGGGTGTGAAAAACATCTAATTGACTCTAGTGCTTGCTTCCTTTTGCCTAGGGGACCCAGAGAAGGAACATCCCACAGAGAGATACAATATAAAAAGGAACCTAGGTGTTCATCCCTCAATGATGCCTTCATATCTTGGCCCAAGCATTTACATGAATGCTAAAGGCTTGGACAGCAGAGTTTCCCCAGGAGTATGTACCTTTGGAAACCAACAGCAATCACTGGGTTGGAGTTAGCATAATGGCTGAACATTATGCCACCGAAAGGCCCGATCACTATGGCCCTGGGAGAAAGAGTGGAGCCCTGGAACCAAGTGCAGGCATACGCAGTCACATTTTAGTTCCTAAGAAGTGTTTATTTTTCCTGGTAAGGGAAAAATATGGGCAAAAAATACATTTTAAAGAATATCACCTCTGTGTGGGGGTTCTGTTTGCTATTTATTTTCCTAAATTGGTCACAGCTTGATAGCAAAGAATCTAAATTTCTTTTCAATGCCCTTTAAAATTAGATCCAACTCCATTACTTTGGACAGCTTTCCCAACGTGTTCTGAGTGCAGAGGACGACTTTGTTTATAACAAGCAGATTTATCTTTACTTTTTCTTATCAAGGACAAGTTGGTTTTGAGTTATTACAACTCTAAGGGAATGTTTGCAATTCCTTGTCTTAAAATGCCAATAAGACATTAATTTCCCAGAGTTTAAGTCTAAGCAAGACCCGTAACATGAAGTGGGCTTTGAATCCAGCTACCAAGAGGCAGAGGGCATTATCCCCTGGGTACCACTAGTCACACCCTCCCTGATCACTATGACCCTGTGGCCTGAAACCCGAGTCCTAGCACCCACACGAGAGCAGACTTCTTAAAAAGACATCAAGTAATAAACACCATAAGTGTGGGTTTTATTGCCAAGGAATTAGCCACATGGGAAATTATACATCCAGAGCCAAGAGTTAGTATCAGATATTTTGCATAGATGTCAAGGTTGTTCAATAACCACTTTAACAGGAGTGGTATATTTGGCCTGAGGTGATATGAGGTGACCCCAATAGGGCGTCGAGTTCAGGGTGCCCAGTGTCCACCCCCACCAGCACGCATGTACATGCACACACACGCACGCACACACACAAACACATTTATGTGCTTACTGTCAGGATATCACACCAACCCTAATCTTGTCTCTAATTTTTTACCTTCGAGTATTAATTTTTAACCCATATGCTTTTTAAGAATTCTTGAAGGAATGTGTAATTACTTGGTCGTCATTATGTTATCACGGCTCTCTGATACATGTTGATGACTTAGTTCTAGAGGGACCTCCCCAGGGCCAACACAGTCCTACCAATGTAACAGTTCAGAAGAGTTCAGAAAAGTTGGTTTAAGTGCTAATACAAAAAGGGGATTTCGTGATTATAGACATTAGCATTATTGCCAATTAAAACTATAGTTTCGACTTCTAAGCCCCGATCTCAAGTGTATGTTCCTCTGTAATATACTGGGGTCTAGAGCCAGTCCATCAGTAGGAGTTGATACCAGTCCCCCGAGGTGCCTTCCTCTACTCCAGAAACCCCTAGAACCCACCTGGTCTCCTTTCCCTCCACTTCTCCCTTGTGTCTCCAGGTCCTATGTTCCCTGCACAACTCTCATCCCTCCCACTCTCACTTCTGCCTCCTTAAGGTTCATATTAGTTTCAGAGGGAAACCCCATATTTCATACTGGAGCTTTTTGTCCCTAGGACTTGGAGGAGAGAGGAGACCCCAATCGTGAACATTTCTCCAAGGGCAGGCTCTCCTCCGCAGAGGCCACAGTTTTGCATTGTCGTTGGCTCTTGCATAGTAGAATTTTGTGTAAAGAGGAAAATACTCATGTTATGGGAGGTAGTTAAAAGGATCAGACTCTCGAGTGTCTCAGCCCAACTTAGCAAACTCTTTATAAAATCTGCCACGGTTCCCAAGGTTGACCAGAACTTGATTCGCAAATGGAGTTTCTTTTCATATCCTCCATATACCCACTGGAAAAGGAGAAAGCATATTCTGCTGCAGGAAGACAGTGAAACATAGCTTAGTCTCAAAGTATGATGAGTTGAGACACAGAAAAAGCCATGACAACTAAGATCTCACATTCAATCTTAAAGCACGGCCCTTGGAAGGCTGGAAATGAACGTGTGGAACAGCCATGACCTCTAAGGAGGAGGGTATGGAGGAAAGACCTTCCTTCAAAACCAGATGCATCCCACCATTCTTTCAACATGTGAATCCTGGTTTCAATGTAATCACAAAATTGAAGAACAAACAACTCGTTTGCCCCACCCCCGTCCTCTTTACCTCCCTCCCCCCACAGCCCAGGTTTGAACTGTATAATGTCACAGGGGATACTGTCCTGTTACTGTCATATGTGCACCACCTCTGCTTCCACAGTGGTGTCTCTGAACATTAAAAGAGCAGTGCCTGTCTATAAACTCTTAGTAAGGCTGCAGTTGCCAAGAAGCAGCTATTCATTTGAGGTTTAAAAGTCCCGGATAGAGACTTTACCCAGACAACTTGCAGTACCTTCACCAAGCATCCCCACTCCAACCACAGTCATTTGGGATTTTCCTCCCCACACTGAGAACAGTGCAGATACATTACGCTTCCCGAACACCACATCCCTGGTTTGCCAGTGCACGCACTGCACCAACGTCTTTCACTCTAAGCCAGGCATTTTGCTGTGCCAGCACCGGG